CTAGCTACTTCCTGAACACAGCACACACACAGCCTCCCCAGGCACACGCAGTAAGGGTTTATTGCCTGTCTCTGAAAGTTCTGTCCCCTCAGGTTCTCACGTATGCCCAGCCCTGAGTGGAGGTATCACCAGCCCCTTCAGACAGATGGGAAATGGTTCCCTGTGCTGCGACTGGCCCCAGGACACAGAGCAAGGCTGGCACCTGGCCCTAGGTCTCCACTGCCCAGGTGAGCACGTGTACCGTGCCCACTGTGCATCAGGAAAACCACCCCCTGAAGCATCAGTCCTGGGATGCCCGCCCTTTGAGCCCCACGACAGGCACCTCTGTAGAGGGAGGGCCTGAAAAACACCTCTAATTTGGGCAAAGCGAAGGTAGCCAGTTATCAAGGGAGCCCTGAAAGCACCGGACTCAAAAATGGGATGGATGTCCCCTCATCACAGAGCAAGCTCCGTCGTAAGGAGGGACGCACAGCAGTCGGAGCCATTGGCCTGAAGGGCCAGCTTGCGATCTGACTGCTGAGAGGACACCATCCTATGACCCTTGACAACGGCATGTCCCCATGGCCCACCAGGCTGGGCTGGGCTGCCAGGAGTTGCAGTTTCTGGAGAGTGAAGGATGTGTTCACAGTACAGCTCACTTAAAAAGCAGTTCCCTCTTGGGGTGAAAGTCCCGCTCCATCACTACCTGCTGTGTGATCTGGGGCCAGACATTGAACCCCTCTGAACCTGTTTCCCCAACTGAAAAACAGGTATGACACTAAGTCGTTCTGATAACTTGTAAATGTGTCAAGCCTGCCCTGGAAAGCATAGGAGTACAGCGGCTCTCCTGAGGGGCTTTCTGCAGGAAAGGAGAAAGCGCTGCTTGTATATTTCCTTTCACGATGTTTCCGTTCATGTACGTTCGGCTAATGTGCAGTCATCTCATGTGTTAGCTCTCTTCTGCCTTTTTCAAATTAAAATGATCACATCAGTTTAATCTCAGGTATACCACCCGAGGAGTCGGTGGCCCTGGTCACATGAGTAGCATGCGTGTGGCAGGTGGTGTACTGATGAGCGTCACGCAGGTGTGGCAGCCCAGAAGAAACCGTCTTCCCTACCTGTGTGCCCTAATGTTGTCCTTGGCCAGGTCACTTCCCTCACCATAAAATCCCCAGGTTGGTCCAGGTGACCTGAGGTCCCTCCCAGCTCAAGCATGCCAGGATTTTCTGATTCAGAAGCAGAAATCATTAGGCCAGGATTTAAAAAACACTCCTGTTGAGGATCTGAGCTCCAGAGTGTTAGTATCTTCTTGTATGACTTCCAAAGAGGGGGATTACTTCATTTCAATGAAAAATCGTGTCTGTTATGCCACAGGATTTGTCTGTTTGATTTTTTAAATCCGGCCCGATTAACATTTGAATCTGTGGGCAGAGTCTGATTTTCTAAGACAGCTTTGTGGAAAATGTTCCATATTATCTTTTAATTTTATTTGTAGGTAAGATTTGAGATATATATATATATATATATGTAATATATAATGGAATATATATAGACTATATACAATGTTTCTATACTCTGTACATTTTATTATATATTAATATATATACATAGTATATATGCATATCCTATTTGTAAATGATGAAGCATAAAAATATTTTTTAAATAACACCCACGAGCCCATCACTCAAAAGAGTATAACGGATCCCTCGAGAGTGGAGTAGGCTCCTCCCTGATCCTATACCCTCTCACCCACCAAAGATAAGCACCTGACTTTGTACTTACAAATAATTACGAGGTGAATTCCTTACTCACCACCCCCGCCCCATGACCCTCTCAATCCCAATCTCCTTACACCCTCACCCATGGTGATATTTGACTTTTATTTCAGGTAATCCACCTTTTTGCCTCTCACCATCATTTTTACTTCTCATGTATGTATTGCTAAACAACTCATTATTGTTTTGAGCTTCATTGTTTCCTTAGCAGCTCTCTGCTGAGTCTTTCTATGCATTTCGGGGTCACTGGGACTCCCTCCACCTAATCTGCAGCCCAGGCAGAGGTGCAAGCCACACCACATTGTCACGATTACACTGGGAGGATTAGGGATAATAAAAACCATGATAATGCCTCTCTATGGGTGTGTCCCCTCTCTATGAGCTTCCTCAATTGTCTCATTTATCCTCTCAACAACTACACAGGGAGGTGTTGGGCCTCTGATCTCCATTTTAGAGATGACAAAATTGAGGCTTCGGCTGCTAGGACTGTCCCCTAGCTGCTCCCCAGCTGCTCCATCACAGGACACCACCCCTAGGTCCTGAGGCAAAGATCCTCCAGTGGCTAGGGAGAAAGGGGAGTGTCACAGACACTTCCCTAACTTCTATCTCTCCCCACAGTCTCCTCTCTTGGAGACCCAGTTAGGCTAGTTTTAGATGTTACAGAGGAAAAAAATGTTTGGAACCCAGCAAATGCCAATGTCTGAATGATACCCAGCATCCTGTCAGGACTGTTCTCCCAGTGATTAATGTATAACGTTCAGTGATGATCAATGTATAATGTCCTTGTACTGTCTGGGGCAGGCTGTGTGGTGTCATGTAGACCCCTGAGTTCAAATCCAGCCTCTACCACTGCGGCCTCCCCTGCAAATGGGCCCACAATGGCAGCCTTGCCTGCTGTCAGAATCATAGGAGGTAAGAGACAGGAAATGCTTCGTAAGTGCCCATGGACACATGGAGTGCCCCTGCAGGCCCCTCTCAAATCTCTGCCTGGGTCAAGGACCAGCTTTCAGTGCTGGAAGGGCTCTGAGAGAGAAAGATGACCCAAGGCTACCCACCATTTAACAGACATGGGGACATCAAGGTAGAGAGGGAAAGGGCAGCGCTGAGAGGGAGGGAACTCAGGTGTCTCACCCAGGCCACAGCACCCCAAAACTGTGACAACCGCTCGCGTGTGCTGTGTTGACACCATACAAAGTGATGTTCATGGACTGTCTCATTTAATGCATATGGTACCCTATGATGCAGGTGCCATGGTTAGCCCCTCTCAGGGGGAAGGACATTGAAGCTCTGAAAGGTGAAGTGATGTCCCCACCATCACACAGCTAGGAAAGGGCTACAGCAGGACTGAAGCCAGGCAGCCCGACGTGGCCACTCCCATCTAATAACTGGCAACATGAGAGGCCCCGCTGCCCACTGGGCTTCCATGGGCTCCAGATGTTTTGGAGGCTATGCTGACCTGCCCAGTCTTGCCTCCTCAGAGTGGAGGTCACCATGCAGCCAAGCCAGGATCTCCCAGCTGCCCCTGCCCCAGGTTTCTGCATCAAGAGGCAGAGAGGCAGCCCAGGCACCGACAAGTCCACAGCTGCTACAGAACATGCAAAGCACCTGGGCTAGAGGGTTGTTCCCATGGAGACAGAAGGAGTGCAGGGTGCCTACAGGGGGCCAAGGTCAGTCTGCACCCTGATGCACAAACCTGAGCCTGGATTCCACCACTCCCCTCAGTGCCACCAGCAAATCCTTGGGCCCTCTTCTCAGGATCCCCAGAAAAACGTGAGTTCCAAAAATAAGCCTCCCCAGTCCACTCCCCGCTCCAGCTGCCCTCAGAGGGGCCTCTCTAGGCTGAAAACTATGCCCGGGGGGCCAGCAGGCTTGGCACAGCTGTGGCTGCTGGCTTGCAGAGTGCAGTCCTGCCTGAGAAATGTGCAGACCCACACGTGTCAGAGAGCCGCTGTGCACGGTTACAGGAAACAGAGCAAAACAGCCTGTTGGCACTGGCGCCCCTCACCCCTCCCTCCTTCCAGTTCCTGAACCCCGCTGCCGGTTGGTTGGCTGCCTCAGCTGCGTAGGAGGTATGGTCGGCCCTTCAAGGGAGTCAGGCTCTGTTCTGGACTGTGTGGCTCTGGGTAAATCACTCCCCCTCTCTGGGCCCGTTTCCTCTCCTCCCCAGTAGTTGAAGGAGGCTTTCCCGCCAAACTTAGAAGGGCCGGGGTTTCTGGGAGAACAGTCTTTCCCCCACCCCCTACCTTCACTCACGTGGGATGGGGCATGCCCCCTGGGCATGTAGGGCTCCCCCACTGGCAGCCCGTGGCTGGAGAAGGCCCTAATTAGTGCTGAAGGAAGTTAATTAACCTTTCAGAGGCGAAAGAAACCAGGAATCTGGGAGAGGGTGCCAGGGCAGCCATGGGCCAGTGCTTCAGGGCCGAAGCGATAAAATAGTACCATCATGGTCACCCCATCCCAGCTGGAGCTCGCTGTCTTAGCGTTCTGAAGCAGAGGTCCGCTGGGCTGCCCGGGGCGCTCACTCACTGCTCCTGGGCGGAACACTGGGCCACAACCTCCAGGTCCACTGTTCGGAGTCAAGACCTGAACACCCTAAGAGAAGTCGGCATCCATTTGGGGCTTCCTCAGGCCTTGCAGGAGACCTTTGCTCCCACTACCCCCTCCTTTAGCACCGGGAAGAGGCTCAGAGAAGCTGAGCGTCTTGCCCGAAGCTGCACAGCAGGAGGTGTCTGAATGAAACCAAGCCTGCTAGAGGAGACTTCCCCTCCCTACCGCCAGCTCTGGGCTTTCTCAGGCACTACGGAGCGAGATCGTGGTCGCCAGGAGCGGGTATTTCTGCCTGTGTTTACTGCCCAGGCCTGGGACACGCGGCGGCGGGAGCCCGCGGTTGACAGGTCAGCTCGCCCCAAGCGGAGGCAGAACGAAGACTGGAGACGGCGCCTGGTCCGCCAGGGACGCGCTGCCCAGGGTTTAGAGGCGTTTGCTTAGGGGACCAACCTCCAGGGTTGGGGAGCGGAAGGACTCGGGGATTTCGCAGGCGGCAGGGAACCGCTGGGTTTAAACTAAAAATACCCGCCCGCTCGCAGCTGTCACGCCAGGGCCCCCGCCCCCGCGCCGGGCGTGCTTCCCCAGGTCCCCTCGACTTTCAGCGACCCTGATCCCTAGGGGACACGTCAGGGCTGGGCCGGGGGCTGAGGTCCCGACCCCGAGGCCCCCCGCCCGGCCTCCCGGCCGCGGGGCACTTACCCTCCCCGGAGCGTGCAGGAGCGGGTCGCCGCCGGCAGTTGGCGCGGAGCAGCCCTCCTCCTCCCTGCGTCCCAGGCGGCTCCAGGGGGCGGGGCCGGGGCGGGGCCGGACACACGCCCCCCCGCCCCGCCCAGTCCCCGCCAGGAGCCTAAGTGGGAGCCGCCCTAGGGCCCAACCCGAGAGAGCGCTCCCGGCTCCGAGCGCTCCGCGGAGGCCCAGGTGCCCAAGCTCAGCTCCTCCGGAGGGTTCCGTATGCAGAGCCCCCGGGCGGAGGGAGCATGAGGGGCCTCTTCCCATCCTGGACCTCCGCCCCGCGCCCAGGGCTGCCCCTTCCCGCCCGGGAGCCGCCCGGAGCCCCGGCTGCCTGCCTGCCTCCGCCCGGTCTCATCCTCCCCGTTGGCGCGGAGCTGCCCCTCCCCTGGGGAAAGTGGGATCTGGGGAGAAGGCTCCTCTGGGCGTCCGACTTGGGCAGAGGGCTCAGCGGCTGGCAGGATTGCTCTCTCAGAACCGGGGGGCGGGGGGGGCAAAGGCAAGGGCGCTCCTCCCGGGGCGCGAAATCCAAGAAGGAAGTGATACCTATCACCCGGCCTGACAGTCGGGGCGCCCCATCCGGTCCCTCCCACCCCCACAGCCCTTGAAGCCGCCAAGCACGGGAGTCTCTAGGCTCCAGGCTCGGATGGGAGTCCCCAGGATGCCAAAGAGCGGAGGCGTTGCGGGGGGTGAACCACAAGGAATGTGACTCCTCCGCCTAATCGGAACCTCCCTCAAACCTAAGGCCCGAGAATGTGCCTCCCTCCCTCTGCCGGCGCCCCCTCCCCCAGCAGACACGTCTCCCACCCGTCCGTCCTCTAACTCGATCCAGCGACTCCACCGACTCCTTAACCTTGAAGCAGAAGGTCTAAACCTTATCTGCCTCTGTGCCCGGGCGCTCCCAGCGCATTCAGGCCCTTTGAACTGTCTTCTGCCCTGATCATTGTTCGAGTAATTACAGGTGCGCACGATTGGTTCTGCCTGCTTTGGATGGGGATGAGAGCCGCATCTTGTATAACTGTGCCATGTGGACTTGTCTTCACAATTCACACATGAGGAGGAGGAGTCTGGGCTTGAGAAGTTAAGTCACTGGCTCAGATCTAAAGCTTCCCAGAAGGTGTTTCCCTCTATCAATGTGTGTTGGATAAATCAGGGTAGAAATCAGTGTCCTAAGAAAAGGATTCAATTATGTAAAAGGACCACATAGTGATGTGTGTGTGTGTGTGTGTGTGTGTTTTCCACATTGAGGGCAAGGTAGAAGGATGCCAAAGCCCAGAGTTAACACTGGGTAGATGTAGCTTGAGTTAGAAATGCCAGAGTGTCAGCCAGACCTCATAACTGAGAACCCATTTATTGAGTTATAGTTACCCACAGGGTCATAGGAAATACACACAAAGGGACTTTTCCCACCCTTGCCCTTGACTGGTTCTAGATGCCCTGTTATGTTTCTCGTTATCATCTTGACTCCATCTGAGGCACTGCCGTAGGCCTTAGGGTTACAGCAATCAGGCTGAAGGTGCAGTGATGAACAATTATTATAATACTTGGCAGTTGGATAGCACTCTGCCTTTCCACATGCATTCTCACGTGTATCTCCTCATTAAAGCACCACAAAGTTTAATTAGTTCTGTCTTATGATGGAAGCTAAGGCACAAACAGGTCAGGTGATTTGCACAAAGACTGAGATGGCCCCTGCCAATGCTGCTGGGATTGGCAAGCTCTGGGAAATCCTTTTCTTGCAGCAAAAGGTGATTGGTGCAGTTGGGTGGGAGTAGAGAGCTCAAGCTCTAGTGCCAAAACGCTAGAGTTTGCAACTTTCAAGGACGCATTTGCAACTCATCCTTGGTTTCTTTTTCTGTTAAAGGAATCTAATAATAGGAGCCTATCTGGAATGGTATTATGAGGTGTTCTGGGTATAGTGTGATCACTACAGTTTCTGGCATACAACTAGTCAGACTTTCACCTGAAGGAAGTGCTGAAGGAAGTTAATTAACCCTTCAGAGGCGAAAGAAACCAGGAATCTGGGAGAGGGTGCAGGGCAGCCGTGGGCCAGTGCTTCAGGGCCAAAGCGATAAAATAGTACAACTAGTCAGACATTTCACCAAACATTTCCTGTGCACCTACTATGTGCTAGTCCTTGGGAATATGGAGAAGGAGGCATAGACTGCCACACCCAGGGAGGTCACAGTGCAACGATTCTGTGTCCAAGGGGCTGTAGCCCGAACAGGGTAATGTCTTGGCATAGACAAGGTCACTCCGTGTTCAGGCGGCACAGAGCACCATTTCCAGAGCTGAGAGACCCAAATTCCAGGCCCAACTCTGCTACTTAACTGAGTGAATCTTAGCAAGTCATGTAACCTCTTAGGACCTTGGTCTTCTCATCTGTTAAATGGGGATAGCCATAACATTCCACAGGTGAGAATGTATGTGATAAAAATATTGTATAAACTGCAAAATGCCATGCAGATATTAGTAGCTTTATTGTTGATATTATTATCTCTAGCATTCTAAGGCTTGATGCTTTTCAGAACACTCTCCCACTGCTTTTCTTAAGCCTGACATAAAAACAGGACCTTATTTTTTGTTAATTACACGGCTGTCTTTTGCCATTCCAAAATAGTCCATACAGAAGGAAAAAAAGTTAACTAAGCCATGCAGGAGAATGGGGGAAGTTTACAACTTTGAAGACCATTAAAACTTCAATTCAACTTCAGCATTACCCACTGCTACAAGAAGGAGTGGAAATGAAAACTTATCTGGAAGAAAGTTCTGGCAAAGCATTGGGGTGGGGGAGCCCCTTTGTCATCTCTGGAATGGAGCACAGGAAACCCCGCCCCAAGGCCTCCTTTTAGAAGTGACTCTGAGAAGGAACCACAGAAGGCCCTAAAATTATGCCATTCGGAAATTCTGACTCAGCTGGCAGTGGGAGCTGTTTGTGCAACACACCAAACGTCCCCCAAAGAGCAGAACTTTTAGGGAGCTTTCTCCAAGTCTCTTCTCTGCAGCCAGCATCCCCACCACTCCTCGGGTCAGGAGCCAATTTAATTAGCCTGGGGAAATGCCTGAGGTCTGTTTCGCATTTGTAGTGGGTTAGCTAGCTTCCACAGCGATCCTGTAGAAATCTTATTTTATAAGCATGATTTTTCATTGTTTGTGTGTTCAGTCTCCACAGGAACATTTGAACAAAAGCTGGATTGGCTCTTCTGGAATCCAACTCTTCGTTGTGTGAATGGGTAAACTGAGGCAAAAGGGCAGGAAGGAGGGGCCCTGCCTAGGGTCCCAAGGTGGTATTTGGTGTTCTGGAAATTTATGTTCCCATTCCTCTGTCCTTAGCCTGGCTTCCCCTTTGGCGATGAAATAAATAAGTGCTATTGCCTAACCAGAAATTAAAATGTCACCCTGGGGTGGCCGTTTCTGGGGTGCCCCATCAGAGATGTCCTGATCTGGGCTGGAGAGCTGGTTCGCATCCTGGCTCTGCTCTCAGCTTCTTTATTTTCTTTTTTGCCAGTTCCCCGAGTGTTGGTCTGTCCTTTCCCACTGGGGTCCTACGATGTACTTGTGGGGTGAGCCAATCCACCAGCTTGGCTTGTTAACTTCTCTGGGTAGGTGGCCTTCCCCACCGACACAGGCACGCCTGCTGGGTGGCAGTGCGTCATCTCAAGCACTAAGCCCAGGAACTGGAGTAATTCAGGATATCCCTCTAAATACACTAATTGTGCTGTTTTTATAAAATGAGAATATAAAGTGTGTCCAAAGCACAGGACCAGATCCTGGAATGACGGGGTGCTAGCTCTTGTCAGTGCTGCTAATTGGCTATGTACCTTTGGGTCACTTCTGAGCTCCTGAATCTGTGAAATGAGACGACTGGAAAAGATCATTTCTAACTTACTTCTCAGGATTTAAAAACAATGTGAATCTTTTAGACAATAACATCATTTAGCATGACTAAGCACTGCAAGGAATAAGTACCAATAGATACAAAAATGTTAAAGTATAACTGACAAACTTCATTCCTAAAAAATAAAAATAAAATCCTTCTAAAAGAGGTTTGTCATATTTCTCCCATCAGTGGGCAACCCACTCTGCTTTCTCTGCTTCTGTTGGGAACACCTTAAGTGGTATTTTTTTTTTTATTGAACATTTGATTTTGAGATAATTGTAGATCATGCAGTTGTTACAAATTACAGAGAGATCTCCTGTAACTTTTATTCTGTTTCCTGTAATGGCAACATCTTGCAAAATGATACAGCACAGTATGACAATTAGGATATAACACTGATGCCATCAGGATACAGAGCGCTTCCATCACCTTGTTTCCTTCACACAGCATCTCCCTCCTGGTCTCATCCCCTCCTTAGTCCCAACCATCTGTCTGTTCTCATGTCTATAATTCTGCCATTTCAATAAAGTTATATAAGTGGAATCACAAAGTATGTAACCTTTTTGGACTGTTTTCACCCAAAATAAGTCACTGGAGATTTCTCCTGGTTGGTTTGTGCATTGAGCGTTCATACCTCTTTACTGCTGAGTAGTATTCCAAAGTGTGGATGGGTCACAGTTGGTCTAATCATTCACTTGTTGAAGGACATCTGGGTTGTTTCCGGTTTGGGGCCCTTATGAATAAAGCTGCTATAAACATTTAGCGCAGGCTTTTGTGTCAACATAAGTCTTCCCACTTCAAGTGTTAACTATGATGGTACCTGTGTATAATAATACCACACCACCAGATTTTTTCCCACTTGCTCATAGAGACAAACACACCACCAGGATGTATGAGTGTCCAGTAATTGCCTAGGACCATTCCATGAGTTTTGGAAGTCTAACAAAAGCAAACTATACAGTTTCTAGCATCAGAAATTTACTATCTATTGCGGACTATCTATTAGGACTGAAACATTAAAGTAACATTGAAATAACAAGACAACACTGCATATCATCAAATGCTGATTGCATGGTACAGAAGTGACTTTTAGAGGAGT